ATAGACGCGGCGGCGATGGGAGCTAGTGGGCTGACAGTAGGTTTTATAAGAGAAGTGGTCCATGGGGCAAAGGCGTGACCATGAGTCAATAGCATAGAATTTAATATAGCTGTGCATCTTAAAAGATTTTCTCATCCAGTGGATTGCAATTTTGAGTTCTTCCATATCACTTCGCTTGTGCAGCCATTGCAAAGGAATATCCTAGTCAATTTTCTTAGCTATTCATCCCAGGCGTAGGCTTTAGATGATTATGCTCCTCATTATTACAATCTTTAGCCTGTAATTGTGATGGAACCGAAAATTAAGTATTATCCTAGCATATGACTTCTTTATAAAGAATTTCTTTTTGAACGTCCCATTAGAGTAACAACAAGGTTAACTCACGTCCATAAATAAAAAGGAGACTGCTACCATACTAGAGGCCACAATATCTTGGTCTTCGTAGCTTCAAGTCTCCTCTACTTGCTCGTTGGAACTTTTCGTTTACCCAATCTCTCACTCTCAATCTCTCAAAACCTAACCAACGAACACAAGCAGCACCCGCTTAACTTCCCACACTTATTCCTTCTATTAATAGTAAATAATATAGAATTTGATGATAAGGAAGGCTTAGATATTTTAATATTTTCAGCTAATAAACGTGAAATGAACATTAGGTCCACAATGAAAATGCAAGTGAATTAGTCCTTACCCTTTTTAATTGTTCTCGTCATTTGAAAAGTAACATAGTTTGCAAGGAATATTTATAGGAAGCCAAAATAAGTTGACTCTTATTAATTTGATCCATGATCGATATCCGGCTGCCACAAGATTGTGTGATTCTTTGGTCTATATTATCTTGATGAGACGTGTAGGACTATTCGTCAAAGATGGGTGAACACAAAATTGTTTAGAAAGGAAGCCGGGTCCAAAAGTCAAAAGAGAACCAACGTGTGGCAGAGAATGGACATGAGATATAATGCTCTTTAACACTGATTAGGATACATATGCTGCTTAGATTAATCTAAAAGAGTCTATTGAGATTAATAAATTAATGAAAACATTGAATGTGAAGGACGATGGTAGAAAGTTGAGTAATAATTACTTAAGATTGATGAAAAGATTGTAGGAGAGTGTTGAGCTGTCATCCAAAAGAAGGCGACCTAACTTGCCTGCTCAGAAATGCTTCTAACTTCGCTCACACACGTCCAACCTGTGAGGTTAGACTCACCGTCCAAATCAGACGTACCAGATTACGCAGCTAATCATGCCTTTCTCTGGGTGGTTAAACGTTAATGACCCTAGATTGATAGGTTAGGACAGGTGGTTTTGAAACATGACTTACACATATACAAGCTTACATCTCATAACTTAAATCATAGTTACTTACGAACTGATGCAGTCTCGATCAGATCTTTTTCCTTGGTTCATTAGGCCCTGATGATCAGAGAAGGACATTAGGCTTGTTTGATCACTCTTATTTGGGACCGATATTGCCTATAGACATTAACACATACACGAGCAAAAGTAGCAGTATCAATATGAAAGATAATCAGCCTAACCATCCCATATCTATGTCCATTCATTTTCGGCTTTAGTTATGAGTAATTATAAGAGGTAAGATAGAGCCGTATAGTCTTCTTGGCCGTGTGCTAATGCAAAACTTTTATAAGAATGAATGCCAGATATCATGATGTCCATCATATGATGGACGGAAATTAGCCCATTTTTACCCATAGCGAAGTAGGAGGTCTCGTTGACTGTGCCAACCTGAACGTCGTATTAAGGCTAAACGACTGAGATACAACGGGATTCAGTCATCCTCTTCTGGCGAGATAAATTTTCTAAACTCTTCTTCATACACTTTCCGACGAAATGAAGGTTTCCTTAACAATGGTATTTCAGGTGATTCATTAAAACCTAATTAAAACCTAATTAAAACCTAATTAATTAAAGCAGCTGCTTTTTTTGCACGTCCTCGGTGAATTGGATCGCATGGATTTGCTAGGTAAGATGCTATATATGTCAACTATATTCATTATGTACTCAAGTATTATTATGAAATGTAATAACAATACTATAATTAAACATAAAAATCACTTTAGTTAAAATATTAATATTTTAAAACTATTTAAATAAGTGATGTAAAATGAACGCAATATTTTTTATTATACTCTGACATTAAATGATTATTTTGTTTATATTTTCAAACAGCCTGTGATATTTGCCCAAGGTCTTCGACATCTGGCCTCCTTCGCCCTACTTCTATATTGTGCACACTTTATTCCTTGCAATGGAATTTTCTTTAAGGTTCATACATATCACCATCCAAGGCCTTTTACTGGATTGTTCGTCAGATGAAAAGTAATACTGAACATAAATATCCTGATTCCGTGTACGCATTGCTCGATAACGTCTAACAACCTTTATGTCGAGCAACTTTGAGCAGATATCTCCAAGCTTAACGGTTCAGCCGCTTGATGTTCCCGTTTTACCTGCGAGCGGCAACACCACACGTGGACTATCGGCACGTGCGTCTCCTTCAAATCAGCGGGATTTGTCTGGTGGGACGGGTGTGTTTGCAAACTTTTTTGATGAAATGGCCGAGGCACCAAGTTACCACCATTCGGCTTCACTCAGGCCAGATGTAATACAATCTCCAACTTTTGGCGGACAACTTCCTGATGATAACATAACGATAGAAAATAAATCTGTAATATTTTCGAATGATGATGATGATCATTATGAACAAGCCCCAACTTTTCCTATGCAGGCCTTCTTTACTTCATGTGCAGATGATGATCTCGCTATACTAAATCAATTTGGGGATTTGCATAGACGAGACCAACTTAAGCCGGATTGTGGCGTCATGAATTATTATTATGTGAGCTCAATTTACTCTTAAAATGCGTTCTGCTACTACCGTACCTATAACCTAAAAACTTGCTTTTAATGTTATTTAATCTAATTTGTAATAATTTTAGATGAAGCTTGTTAGTGCCAGATGAGGTTATTTATAATTTGCCGATCTAAAATACGAAAGAATAGCCTAATTCGATGGAATTCGATTTATCGCTTTTCCACATACTATTATTTTTCCTACATTTAGGGACTTTATCCTAATATTTTGGTTGTTTTCCCAAACAACTCTCCTTGAAACCTATTTTTCGTTTTATAATTTTTCAAAATTAATTAGCTCTATCCTGTATTTTTTTGTCTTATCATATCTATTATGACTAGTTCGTACTTATTCTCGTTTGTATTCGCACGTTTTTGTCTTAAATAAGTTTTAAAAGAACACTCTCTATAATATACAATTATTTACATTGAGGATCTATTATCCTTGCTTATTTGCCTTCCCGATATTTTTGCACTTATAGACACAATTAAAACAAGTTAATCCTATTTATATGTCTTTTTGGCTACCAAGTACTACTTTATTATAGTGAGGTTCAATATTTTTTCATTAACAATTGAGCATAAATTCTCTAAATTTCATCAAATCTATTCGTTGGTACAAATTATGAGTGAGGCTTGTGAGTTTATTTCTTTCGTTAATTGTATATGTATGTGTGTGTTGGTATGTTGATCTTGCTCCTCAATGCAATCCTTCTAAGCTTAGCAAATACTTTTTCACAGCATCCATTCTTTGTCAAATAATCCTCGTGTGTTTTTATCATTATTTTTGTTTTATTATAATCTGCGTGGTTGTGCGAATATTTCGTATCTGGTTATGGCATTCGCAAACCTGTGCATTATAAATTACATTATTTCTATTCTATAGGTGTTTATGGTTTTGAGTGATCATTATCGACCCTTTTTAATATAAATCATCTGAGATTCTTAGAGGCACGGCTATTAGATCCTCCTTTAAATCTTGCGTAATAGACTTTTTGGAGATATTTATTTGGATTTACAGTTAATCAATGTTCTTGGAGTACCTTTCATTTTGTTTGAAGAGGCGAATGGAAGAAATTCGTAAGTTGGTTTCAACGGAGGCTGGGGGGGTTACCTCGGAGCTGTCGTTAAAGATTTGTGTGAATAGGTCCTCGGCGCACCGCCCTGCAACCCCGCTGAATCCTTGCTGACTGTTCGCCCGTCATGTGACGCACGTCGTCAGAGCAGAGCATCATGCTTAACGATAATTCACCAAAAGCAAAAAGGCAAGAAAGGTGGCTGGCTTCAAACCCACTTTCTTGTGGTCCACTTTGGCATCATGTTTCGCTTGAATGT